CTTTTTATTTTTGGCCATGGCGTTGTCAGTTTGTTTTCGATCTATGAGTTTGACTGTCCCTCTGGTATCTTTCGCCCCTTTTCTTTAATAAGTAGGGTCTTTTATTTTCTTTAATTGCAGTCATCACATCACCAAAACATTGATTTTGGACAAATTTTATCTACATTAACTTTGCATGTACCAGCTCTGTTGCTGTTGGAGGACCAGATAGCGTCTCTTTCTTTAACCGTTTAACAAATCTAACTATCTAAGCTGACACTCTAATTAAGCGGCAAATGAGGAAAATCTGCTGCAACCAATGTCAAACAAATACCTAACATTAGATTTCAAATTTCCAAAACTGTCAGTTTCTCCGTCAGGACTCTCCCCAGCCAGCAATTTTGCTTTATGTAATACTTAAGATACCTTTCTGCTGTCTTATTTCCTTTATCCAATTTAGAGGTTTTTCAGTTCCTATCCAGTGTAAAACACATTGAGAATCTGTCCACAGAATCGTCTCACAGACTGGAATTTTTAATTGCTCCTTAACAAAGTGAATGCACCGGACACCAATGACAACTGCAACTGCTAATAACTCAAGTCTAGGTAAAGTTATTTTCTTATTCGGTACCAAACGTTTCTTAGAAAAAAAGTAAACCAATTTGACATAAGTTGTTTTCACTCAGTTGATGTAAATAAACAGCACATAGGCTTTGGTTGAAGCATCGCAAACGCATAGTAATCTGAACGTAACTTTACCTGTTAGTCCAATAGCTCTAGAAATATGATAGTGTGCAATTTCATCTAAATCAGAAGATATTTCTTTCCATAACTGGATATCTTCATTTGTCAGTTGTTCATCCCTTTCCATTTTCTTGTTCCACAACATTTTGGGGAAAAGCTTGGTTCTTTTAAAAAGTCACAGGAGTGAAGAATCCAAATGGACCAAAACAGAAGCCACTCTTTGTCATACTTCTCTTTTGGTGACCGGAAACATGTCATCATTTCTTGCACTGCATGTTAACTGCTAATGTATCATCTTTTATTGTCCAAGTTAACCCAAGAAATTTTAATTTTTCTCTATTTGCCTGGTCTTCCTTGGGAATGCATTTCCAAAATTCCTGTGAATTGGATGCCCATTCTCTTAAGATCATGGATGCAGCACTGAATATTTGTTTGGCCTCTTTATATAAAGTAACTGCATTCTCTGCCAAGTCTTCTCCAGTGATTACATAAACATTTTCTATAATATTTACTGCAGTTGCATTTTTGTATGTTTCAAAAAGATTTCTGGAACTTGGAAACTATTGGAATAAAAGACTGTCCATATACATCAGACGATGAAAATACTTTGAGTAACTTTATCACCTCACTAAAAATGGAAAATGGAAGATATCAAGTAACCTGGTCATGGAAAGAAAAATAACCAGAACGTCCTGAATAAAGGCAACAGTGGTATACCGCTGTTCAATAGGGAACTTGCATACGGAAGACTAAAGTCCCTTATTCAGAAAATGAGGAAGAATAATCCTGACCTTTTAGTCAAGTATGATGATATTATTCAAGACCAGTGCAGAAAGGGCATCATCGAAAAGGTTTCAAACCATGGTAGTAATGAAACTGGAATCAAACATAACATACCACATCATGCTGTTGTTGACCCGACCAAACATACAACTAAAATAACGATAGTTTATGCCTTTGTCAAATCAAAACAAGAGAATAAAAGTTTAGAGAGAGGCCATGGTTACACCAGTATTCAAAAAAGGAGCAAAATCTAAACCTGAAAATTATAGGCCCATCTCCCTAACCTGTATTTTTAGTAAATCATTAGAACACATAATTGTATCATCTATAATGAAACATCTAGATAATTATGATTTACTTTACCCACTGCAGCATGGGTTCAGATCAAAAGTTAGCTGTGAAACACAACTACTAACATTCACACAACAAATTCTTGATTATATGCAAACGGTAAACAAACTAACGTAGTTGTCATGGACTTTTCAAAAGCGTTTGATAAAGTGGACTCTCAAAGACTGATTTTAAAACTAAAACGCATGGGAATAAATAATAAAATATAGACTGGATAGAGGCATGGTTATCTCACAGATCTGAAAAAGTGATAATTGACAGTCACACATCAAATAGAACTTGCTTACAAAACATATGTCAGACCAAAAATTGAATATTGTAGTGTTGTCTGGGACCCTTGGCAGAAACAACAAGTACATAAAATTGAAATGACACAGAGAAGAGCTGCCAGGAATACACTAAATCAATACAGCTACCAAAGCAGTGTAACATGCAGCCATGCTTGAACATCTAAGCTGGCCGACACAACAACAAAGAAGAAATCTCGCATCAGTCACCATGCTATACAAAATTCAACACCAATTAGTATCCATCTCAAATAACCAATACCTAATACCATCAAGAGAACATAAATTTGTACAGACATTCTCTCCCACAAATTACCATTTATATTAATTTTTTTCCCAGAACAATAAGGTTGTGGAATTCCTTACCATACCAAGTAGCCTGTAGCCCAGACTTGGAAGCCTTTAAGTCTGGTGCAAAATCACATATATATTGCTAGATCAAGATCATGTTTTTATCTATATGCAAAAAAAAAAAATTCAAAAAAATGTTTTGAAATTATTGTAAATATGTTCAGATTTTAAAACTTTTTCCCATGTATGTGCCTTCTTGTAATCTTCAACATATTGAAGTTAAGAAGTATTATGTAGATAGATGTAGATGCATAGGTGCAAATCTCAAACTATGTATATTTTGGTAATTTATGTATCATATGAAAGGCAAAAAACTGGTGATCCTTGTAGAACACAAAGAACGGTTGTAAGAGTACGACAGAATTCATCTGACCTCGATTTGATTTTCGTGGTTCATTGAGCAAATCTCGGATTGTGTGCTTTTTTTCTACAAGTAGTAAATTATATTTGGTATATGGAATGATTATTTTGGTGTACATAGCTTGCTGTTCGGTGTGAGCCAAGGCTCCGTGTTGAAGGCCGTACTTTGACCTATATAAATGGTTTACTTTTTACAAATTGTGACTTGGATGGAGAGTTGTTTCATTGGCACTCATACCATTTTCATGGTTCACTGATCAGCAATTAAGTATTGATATGGTCTAGTTTTCAGAAACTATAAGTAAAAAGTCGTGTGTATTTTTTATGGTTCAATGGTCAATATTAAGTTATTAACTTAGTTTGATATACAGAATGATTGGGCATTTTCATGTCCTTCAGTCAGGGTTCTTCGAACCTTTGATCTGCATTTCACAGACCATTGATGTGAAACTAGTAACAATACCTTCATCCTAATACAAACGAACCTATATACCTTCTGTAAATATAGACAATGCAATTTCCCATAGGAAATCCCTTTACGGCTAAAACTGTGCCACTTTTACTATGAAGTTTCGGAAGAAAAATATATATCCTAGATTGGAACGTTGATATGCACTACTAATTTATTCAAAGGTCAAAATATAGGGCTGTGCGGCATATTTTCTACATTTATATACCCTGAACTTTTAAGTGTTTAAACTTATACTAAAATTCTGTACTGCCCCTCCCTTCACTTTGGGTCTTCCTCAGAATTCAATTTTTGCCGCTTCCATGTATATTTATACTGGTAACATTCCTAAGTTATGTCTCAATGATATGAAACAGAGATCAAATCTGGGAACCAGTACGTAAACAGAACAAAAATCTATGAATATTATATATCTCCCCAAAAGAGGCGTGGTTTGTGAAACAGCTGTATTTACAAAGTGTAACCTATTATTGCTTATGCCTGTCATTTGAACTCTGGTGGATAGTTGTCTCATTGGCAATCATACCACATCTCCTTACTTTTATATAAAATTTAGTTTTAATCCTTAAGGAGAACAAGATATTTCAGAGAGTTCACATTTGTTTCTGAACTATAAATAGTTTTAAAATAACATTAATATTCTACTTTATACATGAAACAGGTGTTGTCTGCTATGAAACTTTAAGTCAGTGTTAATGAGATGCTTTAATCTGACAATGCTAATAAAACATTCTGGAAACCTGAGACTACTTTAAACACACATCTCAAGCTTTGCAATTGCCCATGTTAAAAGGGGCATAACTCTAGAACAGTACATGACTCACAACCCAAATTGGAACTCTATCTGCTAGTTCGTTCTAAGCATTGTGTATGAGTTCCATCAAACTTAGGTTAAAGTGGGGAAACGAAACAATTGCAATTTTCCAAATTAAAAAGGGGCATAACTCTAAAACGATAAGTGACTCACTGCCCAAAATCGAAATCTGTCTGCTAGTTTTGGTTCTTAGCATGGTGTATGATTTTCATAGAATTTGCATGAGGCAAACTTAAGTTAAGAGTGCAGAAACGAAAATGGGACAGACGGAAAGATGGACAGTCAAGGGTAACCCTTGATAGAGGATTGCTGCTCACATGGAAGAGTTCCAAATGGTGAAGTTGAAATCATCCTTTCGTAAATTTTACGGACACCATCACGAGTTGGTTGACCGTTATGGAATAATCGTTTCACAGATGATATCGGATATGTTCCTTATGTCGTAACTATAATATCCTTCCCTTTTCACGAAGGTGACCTACCGAATTAGACTACTTACCGGATTTGTAATAACATAAGCAACACGACAGGTGCCACATGTGGAGCAGGATCTGCTTACCCTTTCGGAGCACCTGAGATCACCCCCAGTTTTTGGTGGGGTTCGTGTTGCTTAGTCTTTAGTTTTCTATGTTGTGTCATCTGTACTATTATTTGTCTGTTTGTCTTTTTATTTTTGGCCATGGCGTTGTCAGTTTGTTTTCGATCTATGACTTTGACTGTCCCTCTGGTATCTTTCGTCCCTCTTTTAATGCCCCCATTGCCTACTGCTGGTGCATAAAAAAAGATCACAACTATGAATAATAGGAAATGTGGGGTATATATGAATGACAGAAACCTAACAAAACAAAAAGCATAACACAAGTAGGTTTTAAAAGTGTTTTATAATATAAACTATTACAAGCCTTTCAAAATACAAAGTTAAGTATTCAAGGCATGTATCTCATACATACAATCTTCAACAATCTCAACAAAAATTTAAAAAATCTTTCTTCATTAAAAACAGCTTATCTTTTGGTCTATGATGAAAAATGAAAATCATAAATTGATTAAAAAAGAAGTAATTCCACCTTCTGTAAATTTAGATTTTTTTGGGGGCGAAAATGAGATGGCATGTGTATATGAATATTGATTTGAGAGAGCTTCTTACATTCTGAATTCTTTGTATGAAGAATTTCTTTTAATTGCATTAATAGACCCTCTGATCTTAAACCACAATAAATATATTTGCATACATTAATTTCAGAATATACAGTCACAGTTTATAATATTTGACAAATTAACATGCACCATTTGACATAATGCCCACCTTTCACTGCATTGTTAATTAGCAAAAGTTCTAGCTATTGAAAATGTAGATACTTATAAAATTTATTTTGACTGTGTTGGTGTTTGTGCAACAGTTTCAATGAATGGACTTATTCATTATGGAACTTATCATGGAACTTAAAAAAATAACAACATGTCAAAGTGTAAATTATATCAAGTAGTATGGAATTTCAAAATTCAAAAACTTAGTTCCTACAAAAATTAATCCCAAGGTTATAATTAATTTTCAAATATCGCAGAAAATTTACAGCCGATTGTATCTACTGAACTTCATTCAGGGAATAGCATTTTGAGATGTGAAATTACTATCTGTCAACTCCAAAAGTTGGTTCCAAAGAATGTCAGGTGTGTGAATTTACTTTGTATTCAAGGAAGGCATTTTGAAAATTGTAACCATAGAAAGGTTTTTTAAAATAAAGATACATATAAATGTCAAAGCTGTTGATATTTGTGTCTCCAAAATTTCAAAGGTCTTTCTAACATTTTTTTGAACATATATTAAGTAAAACAAAGAAATTTCTAATACCCAATTTAAGTATTTGCTATTTTTTCTCAAAATAACCACCTTTCCCAAAATGCAATGGGGAAATATAAGAGAGTTATTTACCCTGATTTAAATTTACTACTAGGAAACACTGAATTGCTTCTTTCTTCGTCCTATAGCTTAAAAGGGAGACAATCTAAATTATCTCCCCTGTGAATAACAGATTTTTTACTTCTCCGTTTCTGTCCATTAATTATCCAAGACTTATAATTTGTAAATACTTTGAAATAATTCTTATATAATTTGCTTATATACAAATACGTGAATGTTATTGGGTCTGTAAAATGTTTTTCCTTGGTTTACAATTTGATAGACGTGTCAGAAAATACTTTTGCAAAATATATGAACCACCATCTCAATATCATTGTGATGTATTCATGCACCATACACGTGAATGGAATCCAGTGGTTCAAAGGGAGTTGAAATTAAAAGAACAAACTAAAAAATATTTGGGTTGAGAATAATTAGGATTAAACAAATTATTTTTCTGGAGGTTCTTGATGTGTAAACCTTTCCGTAAACTCATATAAACTTTACACATAAGAAGTTTGTGAGCTAATCGGCCCAGTAAACACATGAATAGTCTAGAAAAAAATGACTTTTCATCCTGTAATAATGAATATCATGCTATGAAAATGGAAATATTATGTCTTAACTTATCCTCTACCAAGATGAGGAGAAAAATGCTTCTGTTTATAAAACTAATGAGAATAATCTAAGATAAATATCAGATCTAACGTAAATTTCTATATTATAATTGTCTTTCTTGATAGAACACCGACTCTGATTAGGCAATACAAAAACTCTTATCAATATATCTTCAAAATATAAAGCTAATAATAGAAATCAAAGAGATTTACATTTACTACTTCTTTTTAAGAAACCTATTTTAACTAATTTCTTGTTAAAAAGTGTCAAAAAATATCCATATTATATAGCTTAAAAAATGAAGAAATGAACAACCTTGATTAAGTGGACTTCATCAATTTGTACACCTTCAACTCTCTAATGTATTTCAATTTACAGTTTTTTGGAGAAAAATGTGCAGAAACTAGACACTAAAGAATGAATGTGTCCTTAGTAAGGAAAACAAGATAGTTTGAATCAATTGTCAATTACAATATTAATGTTTTTTGAAATTGACATAAATATTTTCAAAATAGAAGAGATTCAAATCTCTTTGTTGTAAACTAAGTTATGAATTAGGTAGAATATTTCAGAAGAAATCATGAAATGTTGCAACAGAAATCCTGTAAAAAAATTGAAGGGGAAAGGAGACATCTATTAGTTATACATGTATATTTCTTAGGCCAAATTTCAAACTTTCCTTTACTCAACCAAGATTTCAATTTCAGCTTTATCACTTGAAACACATTTATTTTTTGTAGTTCTGATATTTCCTGCCTACTGTGAAGACTTTATGTTAGTCAGATATCTGAAGTTTTTATCCATAAAAAATAGATTTTTATTTCAACACTTATATTGATTTTGTAAAAAGAAGAAAAGCTGTGACCTTCAAATCATTGAGTTATGTATTAGGAGCTCTATGTGTAACGATAAATGAATTACTGAATAGAGTTATTACAGAAATATTACGCATTTGTTATAATGAAAGAAAAATTTTTGTTATATCTGATCATTTACTTCCAATTATTTTTTAAATGTTGTTGGGTCAACCAATAGTTTTGTATTACAGAAAACAAAAGAGCCCATCAATGATTTTAATTTTAAATTCTGGACATTCTGAATTACAAATATACATATTTGGGAAAACTCTAAAAACCTATATGTGCCTTCCAAGTAAAACCTAGCAGGCATCATATTTAAGTTTGGTCCCATTTTTATTCATGTAAAGAAACTGTTTCATGCTTGGTCTCTATATTTTTAAAGTATTGATTTAATGGAAAATGGAACAGACAGGAGAGAGAATTGGTAATAAGTTCTGAAATTAAATCTGATTAATCCAGATTCCACTCTTAAATGAAAATTTTGAAAACTACTTGTATCAAAAACTTAAATTTTATGACTTAAAAGGCAAGCCTCCTTCTCGCTAGGGTATTTATCAGACAAGTCCAAAAATAACTTATGCAGAGGTGAGTCCAAACTGATTCCAAAAATCAATATTACAAAAACTTGAATAAATCTTTTCTCTCTCTGTTGGCCAAAACCAGTTACATTATTGGAGCTTTCATAGTGAATGGAATTTAAACACTTGACTATTGCACACAGGTTCATGAAGAGTTGCACTGGGCTTCACCAATATCACCAATTGCAATTTATATTCTATCTATCAAAAGATTTTCATGTCTGACAACATTTCTGGTCCAGAAAAAAATCACACAGAATTTTAAAGTTTTCTTCATGAATCAAGAGCTTTACATGTATAGAAAGGTCAAAATAAAAAAATAAATACTTATTGTTCATCAATTTAAGGCTCTGTCTCCTAAATCAAGTAAACTTTCATACAAGTGGATGGGCCCTAACTGACCAATACACAAATAATTAGCTGCTTTCCCCAAAGTGCACCTGCTGGTCATCAGGTCAATTGTCTATACATATATGACCCTCTCAGTAAATTTATTACTTTTATCTGACAAATGCATAATATGATGGTCTTATATACATATCTTTCAAAAATAATAGTTAGCAATCATCAGAATAAATCTACACGATGTACATGTTTAATTACATTTTTAAAATGGAATAAAAGTTTTGCAGTTTATTGTTTAAAATGTACCACTTTAGTTTTTAACGTTAACAAACATAAGTGTATTGTTAAGATTGCTATTTAAGAAAAAATCAAGAAGATGTGGTAGGATTTCCAATGAGATAACTGTCCACAAGAGACCAAGTGACATAAATCTAAGTTTGGAAGGCTTTTAAAATGACTAATAGTCATGATGAGGAACAATAAACCTATAATAATTTTTTTAATAATTTAACTAATATGAAAGAACCGACTAAAATTTAGGAAAAAAAGTGTGAGCTATGTCCAATATGAGCATAGTGGGCTTGATCCAAATGTTTTGAAATTGGTTACAAAAATTTAGATTTCTGGCGACAATTCTTTTAGGCCAGTGCAGCTCCTGCATGAAATGATATGTCCAGTCAGAAAAAATACACACCTAACAAAAATTTTTCAAACTGTTTAATAAAAAAAGACACATAAGCACTATCAGATAGCCACAGATGATTTGTAAAGATAGTATATCATATGTCTAAACAATTAATTGCTTGTTATATATTGTAAGTGCATGGGACCATGACCAAATTGGACTACAACAAGGGGAATATACGTAACAATTATATTTAGATTTAGAAGTTGAACTTTTTCGTTAAAAAAAAAAAAAATTCAACTAAAAGCTCTTAAGTGCTTTAAATAAATTTCTGTAACCCATATATGCAATTCTTAATAATATAAAACATTATTGTTAATTATACTCATAGCAAATGTGCCCTTTGACGCATAAGCATCCATTCTCACACAAAGCTCATGTATAATACACACTCAAACACTTATACACACAAACAATCAGTGACAAATAATCAGCTGTAACAAGGTAGCACAAGATCACAGTTAAATCACATCAAGAAGGGACATAACCCATGTATCACAGTCAGAAAGATTGTCTCCCCTCTTAGCACTTATTCCATTGGTTTGTGGAGAAACATTGCACATTTTGTAGGGTTCGACTCAGGGTCCACAGGAGACATCTTCTCTGTGTTAAAACTGCATTTGGTAAACTTCTGAAAATAAATATTGAAACCATTAGAAAGTTTTTTTAAACCATGCCATAAACAATGTACAATAGCTTGCTTTTCATAATAATAAAACATGCATTACTTTTCCAGAAAAACTATATGGTTATAAAATCTTTTTAAATTTAATAACGAAATACTTTTGTAGAGTACCAGTAATAAATTTTTTTAATAATTACTATAGATTCCTGATTTCTTGCTTCATACTCATTTTCATCGATTTCATGGGTAAAGCGCTAGCTGAGCCATGAATTAAGAATTTCATACCGTTTGTCAAGTTTCATTAAAATTCCAAGGTGGACTGTTCATTTTTATTTTCAAAAACTTATGTGATGTAATTAAGATATATACAATATTTAAGATTATGTTTTCCCCCTCAAGGGTAAGACATACTATATTTATCCTGATCAGCTTTGAAGGGGATGATGATGGATGGCTATTCAACATCCAGCGTTCAATTAAATGCATACATCCTGAATATGTTAATGCAAAATGAATATTAATCCTGCTTTGAACTAGACTGACATGCTGAGCTTGATTTTAACGTACTAGTTCACAATTTTCAAGTTGAAGAACAAGTCCATCTGCAGGACTTACATAAAATTTTATTTACAATTAAACAACAGTACCTCCAACTTGTGGACTAACAACTGTGTGCTGCATTGTATTCTGAAAAAAAAATAGTAACAGCTACATGTATATAGTCTTAAAATGAACATGTATGTACATCATTACATGTATTGTATATTGAAGGGGGGAGAGAAGCTTTTTAACCAAATTAAAAAAAAATTTTTTCATGTAACTGTGGGTACCTCAATGTTAACATTCATTAACCAATAGTTACTGTAAACTTGGGTAAATGTTTAAAATTATGAAAATTATGAAAAGTAAATATTTTTGTTTTTTCATGTTTTTTAAACCTTACATCATTGTACATTAATCATGTTAATATTTTCATTTTCATAATTTTATTAATGAAGATTGGTTTTCTTTTCTGTCACAAGCCTGCCAGCTCAAGCTTGTAAAATTATACATGTACTTATGAAACCTGTCTTAACACTGTGCCACATGCACAGGCCCAATAGCCAAAGCTTATAATATTATACATGTGCTTATGAAACAAGTCCTTGGTTTTCCCGTTTGAATGGTTTTACACTAGTAATTTTTGGGGCCCTTTATAGCTTGCTGTTCGGTGTGAGCCAAGGCTCCGTGTTGAAGACCATACTTTGACCTATAATGGTTTACTTTTAATAAATTTTGACTTGGATGGAGAGTTGTCTCATTGGCACTCATACCACATCTTCTTATATCTACTTAATGCTCTGCATCAGGCTCAACACCTCAAGATTGTAAGATTTTCTCCTTTAGGTCAAAAGAATCCATATAAAATTTTCCAAAACATGAATGTCAGGCCTATGGCTGCTAAAAGTTTATTGTGAAATGCTGATGGAAAAAATGAAAGTAAAAATTTAAAATGTCTTTTACTCATGTGTCAGCCTTTAGCTAACTATGTAAAGCTGCTATTGCAAAAAAGGTAGGTTTTTGTTTCACATAAAAGTAACTAAAGCTCTCTAAAACAGTAACACTATCTTTATACATGTTATAAGCTAACATCTACAGCAGTTTGTCTCTGGAGGATAGCTGTCTCATTGGCAATCATACCCTGTCTCCTTGGCAATCATATCCTGTCTCCTTGGCAATCATACCCTATTTCTTGGCAATCATACCCTATTTCATGGCAATCATACCCTATTTCTTGGCAATCATACCCTATTTCTTGGCAATCATACCCTATTTCTTGGCAATCATACCCTATTTCTTGGCAATCATACCCTATTTCATGGCAATCATACCCTATTTCATGGCAATCATACCCTATTTCATTGGCAATCATACCCTATTTCATGGCAATCATACCCTATTTCTTGGCAATCATACCCTATTTCATTGGCAATCATACCCTATTTCTTGGCAATCATACCCTATTTCATTGGCAATCATACCCTATTTCTTGGCAATCATACCCTATCTCATTGGCAATCATACCCTATCTCATTGGCAATCATACCCTGTCTCCATGGCAATCATACCCTATTTCATTGGCAATCATACCCTATTTCTTGGCAATCATACCCTATTTCTTGGCAATCATACCCTGTCTCATTGGCAATCATACCCTATTTCTTGGCAATCATATCCTATTTCTTGGCAATCATACCCTGTCTCATTGGCAATCATACCCTATTTCTTGGCAATCATACCCTATTTCCTTTAATATTTTATAATAAATAAACTACAAATGTGTGCAGCACGAAATTCAAAAATATTATTATTTTTATCTGTCACACTTACATGACTAATTTTGTATGATCAGTTATGAACATCTAACAATTTTTGTAAGATGTAATTTGATAAATTTATAACTTTTGATTGTTTTAATTCAAAGGGGTACAATGTTATACATGTACCTTCTCCTATATTCCAGAACTTAACACATCTAACTTAGTATCTATATTCATGTACAAAAGTGCAAATGTATATACACTCTTTACATAATAAACAATGTTTCTGCAATGGTATTGACTGGAAATTAGAGTGTGGTACCTACCGCATACCCCTGTGGACACGTCCAACCAGGTCGAGCCCATGTATAAACTAATCCTTCCTGACAAGCAGTGACTATACATTCTTCTCGAAATATAAGTTCAGTTAATCTTTCTGATGCTATTCGTTTACACACTAAAGGTTCTAAAATGGGTGCTTCCTCTAATCGAGGACAAGCTAATGTGCCTAAGAGTTTAATTGAATCGTCTACAGGTTTTACATGATTAGATCTTAATATACTGTTTTTATCTACACTTCGACTTGCTAAACTAAAATTTCTTTTATGTTCCTTCCTTTCCTGGCTTTCTTTTCTATCTGCTAAAGTTAATGTTGCAAATTTTGTACTTAAACTAGATGTATGATTAGCCACAGGATGTGCATTCCCATCTAAAGTAAGGTCACTTGCTACTGAATTGGATTTTTGGGACTGCGGTAAACTATTACATCTAGGTAATGTATGTGAAGCGTTTGGTGTGACCAGAATACTTGTCCGTGAGCGCCCATATGGTTGTTTGATAATGTCTTCTGTAATATCCCATAAACATAGCATTGTATCTTGTCCCACTGACCCAAATCGATATGTAGTGATATTCGATGATGATGACGTTGACTGACATTCTAACGAATTTCTATTGGATTGTAGGCTACCATTCACAACATTTTCATGATTACTGGACCCAGTCTTTTTGTCTGAAGAGTCACTCTCTTCTTCACTAAACACTGATGTATAAGGGTCAAATGCAACAACCCCTATCCATGATCTGTGTCCTTGACCTCTACAAACAACTCGTTTTTCAACAAAAGACCAAACTGTTACTAAATCGTCTTCCCCTCCTACTACTATGTATTTACTATCTGGTGACCAGCACACACATAATAAACCACCAAAGTAACTTTTCATTGATCCTACTAATTCCATGGAATTGTAATTAAAAACACGTAAATAGCCATCTTGTCCCACAACAGCCAGATACTGAGAACATGGGGAGAATGCAAATTCATTAATTGGTCCATGTCCTACCATCCATCTGTACAATGGATTTCTTGTACTTTTTGTTTTACATGTGAACACTGAGAAACTGTCTCCTTGTTTAAACGGTTGATAATGAGGAGGGGTGGGGCCACACGGCAATTCTTCATTATAAATATACATCTGGCCACTAGAATGTGATACTATGAATTGATTGGTTGATCCTGGGATCCATTTTATACACGTAACTTTGGTTTTGTCTATTAATCGCTGAAAAAAAACGACAAATATATACTAAATATTATATCATAGAAACTTAAAGGGGCACTAGCTACGAGATATATAAAAAATCTAAAGTAGGATTTTTTTTGTTCAATCATTAATGAAAGTGAAATAGTGAAATAATAATTCGCTTTAACAAATGTTTAAGCAGCCAGTATGGTTCAATTTTGTCAAATAAAGCTAAGAAACATTGATGATTATAATTGACCTCATTGAATCCGTATTCATGTGAACTTCAATTTAACCCCTTAGCTAGAGATGGATAACGCATGCATTGTGCGTGTTCAGTTATTTTATAAAGGAAAAGAATGTCAACATTGAAAGTGAAACAAAGGTAAATCATTTGATTGACTGATTCGATCCACAGATCCACAAAAAATCATTCTTATACAGGTAAAAACGATGATTAACATATATTTTTTAATCTACAATATGAAATTAAACAGACCTAGAAAAATCCAATTGCGCGATTTCATTGTCTATTTATATCTATAGTTATGTTTATATCGCTTATATGACTATCTGAGGTCTTCGGAGGTCAACTCGATAGTTAATTAGATGGCGTCAAGACTAAAATACACACGAAACAAAGTTACATATTATCTAGCACATGCCCTGTAAACTGTTTATTTAAGACTTTTTATAGTTTGGATAAATGTTTTACATGTTTATAAATCAAATATGAGAATTTGAGTCAAATCGGTGAACATGAATTTGATTGACAGCTAATGCCCCTTTAATGCAATGTACATTTATCACTATCAGGGATCAATCTGGTTATTGCCAATGTAGCAAAATATATATACACTTTTTTTAAATTCCTCTGACTACAAAATACAGCTGCTGGTGATATATCTGCTGCTACTTTTTATCCCATGCCAAAAATGATCTTACTTGACCCTGAAGGGGTAATAAAATGATATAACCAGACCAATAAATGATGATGGACAGCTGTTAAACTTTTATCAGTGGCAATTTAAAAGCATATTCAGGTTGAGAACATATTAATGCTATATGATTATGAACCTAATTGTACTAGACCAACATGCTTTAGTCAGATGTTGAATGTCCTAGTTCACAAAATAACAAGACAAATACAGGTAAGGTATATATCATCAGAAAGCACCTGCCGATGATCAAAAATTCATTTATCTATTTTGCTAATTTTACAAAGTACATTGCTGAAAATGGAGGGTTGATGGAAAGAAAGCTTTCGTTTGTGTTACAGGGGAATTGTACCTTAATAAAAGCCTACATAATCGTGGAGTAAAATAAATGAGGAATCTTATCATTGTCTAATGATATATGATTTATTTTATACTGGCAAAAGGAATTAATGAATAAATATAATGACATAGGCCAAAATAAATTAATAGTGTGTTTCCTATTTTCAGAAAAAAAAAATTCCTATATACCTTAATATAACACGTGTTATATTAAGGTACATGTATATAGGAAATTTTTTTTACTGAGACAAGTGCCTATGATTAAAACTCCAGGTTTTGAGAAGAGTGAGAATGTGAAATCTTCATCTTAATCTATAGCTACTGGTCAAATAAATTGCAGATATAGATATGACATGATTTTTTTTCAATTTCTTGTATAAATTGTTATGGGAAATCAGAGTATAAAAGAATAAAAGTAGACATGGTGCTAGGGCAGATTCATTTATAAATGTATATGAATTATACACCATCGACTGCCTACTAGAGAAAGCTTCTTTTCCTCCTTCTCGTTCCACATTGTCTGCCCCCTTGCCGTCATTAACTTAAAAGCAATAACAGCCTTTTATGTTGCGTCCTGAGCACAATTCTGCATAACATCAGTGTCTTCCCTAGAAAATTTTTCATGCATGGTGGGTCCATGGTGGATTTGCAACACGGCGCGCGATGATTCTTTTTCAGAATTAGGAACACTACATAATTTATATGTTTAAAGCCATATACCAATCTAATTGTTTTATTATAGGTAAGTCATGGAACTTTAAAGTATTTATTACAGATGAGAGGAATTAATGAAAGACCTTATAAACAATAATAAAAATAATCCAGTCTGCACTAGTTATTTACAAATTAATGTCATGTACACATTATTTTGTTGATATCTTTCTCCGTTTCAACTTTCCAAAGTTCACCACACATTTTTCAAAATCAAAATCTTCCTCCTTTGGTCCTTCAATTGATATATGCATTAAGCAATTCAGCACTTTTTGGCATAGTCTGTTTCTCAAAGGTGTTTTAACTCTGTTTAAACATGAAAAACACCTTTCACAATCAGCTGTTGAAACTGGCAAAACAAGACCAATTGCTGCATACTTAGACAGACATGGATACAAAGTTCTAAGACTGGCAACTTTGTTCATTGTCTGCCTAAATGTCATGTCGTTACATTCTTTCACTAACAGTGTCCTCAATTTGCTGATAGAATGGTTTCAGCAGTAACAGCAAGTTGTTAAATGAAACTTTGAATGTCTTCATTGCTTCACAGAGATTTTACAGGGAACAATAATAAAAAAGTTTATTTGCGTTAGGGACGACATCAAAAGTTCATTGTAGGATAAAAAAAAGTTAATTCACATAGTTTTTTCACTGACCCCCCCCCCCCCCCCCCCCCCCCCTTAACTTACTTTGGGAAAAATTGATTAATTGATTGACCAATATGGATATATGTAAAGTCGATTTTGGATAAACAAAACTTGCAGCAATTTTAACCCCCACCCCCAAACTATTTGATTGAAGTATTTTTATCCTACATTGATCTTTTGATACAGATGACATATTTGGCAATTACCTGTTTGGAAGCTAACTGACATTTTATTTCATGACAATTTTTAAATACATTCCTGTCCGATTTATTTATAACGCTTCATAATTGTAAAAATCCTATCTTGCCGAAGTGAAAGAAAAAATAATTTAGCCCCACTTGTGTAAAAAACGGCAAATGAATCCGCTATGTGACCCATTGAATTAAAGATAGAACAACACTAGTTTATTATATTAAAAACAATATTTCCGTAAATAACTACGTATGTTTTGAAAGTTTTTCCATCATTTCATAAGACACGTCTTTTTCTCGGCACGGTTGCGGTGATGTGTATTCTTTGATATAATCAATCAACAGCGACTAATCTAAAAATAACTGATTGTTGTGACCAATCAAAAAATAGTTCATCGATGTAAATATACATTGATATAGCTGATGAAAAAACTGCGAAACTTTATTTAAAAAAAAGATTTTGTTCATTCTCGGTGAAGTTACGTTAGTTTTATTTTATGATACCAGAGACTATACTAAATTTTAAATTTCTACTTTTTAATGATCACAGTAAAATAACGATGTCAAACTCCCGTTTTTTAGTGAAATTTATACTGGGAAAATGTTAAAACTTTTTATTTGGCACAGAAAGATATGCATTGGAGATTAATCTTACTATTTATTTATCAGCTAACTGGCAACTTCTATTATGTAACCGAAGTCTCGATGTGTAAATGTATACAACCATGCAACTAATCAAGAAGGTTATAAAATCCCGGCACGCGCGACGTGATGCATCCAATTATGAGTCGGATGAGTTTAAAACACCTGTGGAGTGTTGTCACTTGTCACTTCACTTTCAAAATATCGATAATAAATATTTTACACAGTTATTATTTTCACACATAGCGGGATGCATTGCGGCAATGATGAAAGCATGGCGGTTGAAATTTATGCGTAGCGGTACCGCAATGCTTGAATAGCCTAGGGAAAACACTGTAACATTCGTAAAAGCGTTTTTTTACAACAAATGCTGGATAACCAGGATTGATTTTAGCAGTAAATTGAATTCATTTTACTTTAAAAATGTTTGTCAGTAATTTAACCGACAGATAGTCTGTCAAACTGGGAACGATTCTGACTTTTGGTCCAAAGAAGCACAGGTAAAAGATGAGATTTTGTTTATATATGTATATATACTGAATACACTATTCATTATATACAAATATTTAAAAAATCTTGCTTGTACCTGTCAGTCATGGGTACTACTTGTACAAGTAATCTTTATTTACTTGAAGAAGTAAATAAAATAAACTTATATAAGTTAAGGATGTTCGCTCCTATTGGGTTTGAAATTATTGCCAGATATTCGAAATCCTCTGGTTTTATCCATGTAGTGTCATTAAAAAAATTTCCCCGCTAACCCCTACTTTTCTTTTTATAATTTTATTACAAATAGTTTAAAAAGCCATATTTGAAAATCTTATCAAATCCTTGTTATTTTTTCATAAATTTTAAAAGAAAAAGGGTGCCAATGTTAAATGTAAGAAAAGTCTAGAGAGAATTATTTCCCGCCAAATTTTCAATGGCTTATATCTCTAAAACAAGTACACGGACCCTACATTTTTTTCTGCTTTTTCAGTTCCTTTATTTATATACTATCAATTTATAATAGTCTTTTAAAAAGCTTGTTATTTTGAAACAGAGTAGCGAACATCCTTAATTATAATGTTTGAATAATCTCCCCTTAATTTTCTCAAAAATTTACTTGTATAAGTAAATTTTTTTTACAATCCCACAAAAATTCTCAAGTTTTGAAATGTAAAAACATGCCTTTAACAATTTTTCTCAGGTTAGCTCATAATTTTTTATTAGAGTTCAATGTTTCATCTCATTAATTCAACAAAGAAACTGATTGCGCAAAGATCTTAAGTATTTGCGCAAAGCCTTCAAAAATTGCCCCTTGGGGGCTTGTAAATGAGCAGTGTTCTGAAGATAACAGACAAATGAGATTTTCATTGTCCATGAAATTACACTTAAATGATTAGCAAAGACATCTGCAAAGAACAGACAATCAAAAATTCTATTAGAGCAAAGAAGTCCTAAGAATTCAAGAAAAGAAGATAGGATGACTTTTTTACTTGTATAAGTAAAAAATCTGAATGTCTAAGGGACATAACTAAGCCCAATTTTTTTTTATCTATACAAGTAAATAAAATACACTTGTATAAGTATCCTACAAATTTACTTATATAAGTATATGAATATCTACTTCTTCAAGTAAATAAGAATTACTTGTACAAGTAGTACCCCTGACTGCCTGTTCAAAGAAGTTGAGCAAAATGCGTCAACTTCGTATTTTTTTTAATCTATAGGTCCAATATGACAAAATGTATGATGTTCTTTACATAGATTCATTATATCGTAATTATTCGGAATTGATGTCATATTTTGCGTCCATGTGATCACATTTCGCATATTTGAAAGTTAATACGCTACACGGTTGTCGAAAAGCCATGCTTGTTTATTTAAAATCTTTGTCCTTGAAATGCTTTACTTATCCTATTGGTCCTTATTAACAAACATTTTGAAGATCTATAGTATTCTAAACAAATAAACGGATTCCGGACAGTCAAATAATCTGGATTTTGAATTTTTATTTGAATTTTTGTTAAATAAAATGTTTAGGGTCGGTGTCGGAACAGGAGGTAGAGTCGGGAAACCGGAAACACACTATTGATTTAGTTTGGCTTAGAGACAACAATTCATTGTTTTAAACATGAAGTGCACTCTGATGTACCACTGCCCCAGCAAATCCTAAACTAGAGGCTCAGTTTGATCTATGTGCATTTTCAACAATGGCCACTCTTTAACATTATCATGATTGAAGACTAGAATATAATTCATGACTTAGATTTCATGCTTTATTTTATCACTTTGCAGTTGGTTAAAATTTCTGATTCTTTGAACAGGTTGATTTCATCAAACAAATTGTGTAAGAATTTTGATTGAACTGCAAAAGGTGGAGAGAAACACTTATAATCAAGTCATAGTAAAAGCAAGGAGGCATGTGCACTGTCAAAACACAGGGCATAACATCATCACACCCCCCCCCCCCCCCCCCACACTCTTTCAGACTAGACTTTTAAAAGCTTAATTATACAAACTTCTTCATTGTAAAGTTTTCCCAGTTCTTTCTTTATAGGATCAATAAGCTGTAGCTGTCCTGCAGTAAAGCCTACTAACAATCTAACACTCTCACTGGATATTATCATTCTATTAAAATCATGACATGTCGGAAATGTCCCTTTATATAATCTCTTGTCTATTGGTTTTGTCAGATCTGCAGCCTGAAAGAAAAAAAGAAAATCTTAAATGTTTGTTCATAACTTTCATGATTGTATACCATAACACAAGATTTTTTCCAATTTCAACAAGAAGATTTTGACATACGTGTAACTTTAAAATTGTCTGATGACCTCTTGGTGTCTGTTGTGGGTTTTTTTTGGGGGGGTTGCTGTTTTATTGATGTTTTCCCCACATCTCATTTTTTTAATTAAGCAATATACATTAGTTCCTTAGCTATAGGTCTGACATGATGTTTAGCAAAAATTGGTTGGGTCTGGCAATTTTTTTGGTTTTTCTACATCATTTGTACATGTAGTATCCAAGTTTATCATAATCACTGAATATTGAACATGTTAACAAATAAATCATTTCACAAAATCACATTCCAAATTACAATTGGTAATTGATCTGATTAAGTAACCATTGTCTGAGCTAATTTGTTATTAAAAAAAAACAGAATAAGAAAACAATCTCAAAAATACTTTATATAGTCACAATAGAACTAGTCTTGGACATGTAGTCATTGCTAGATGTTAATACAATACATTCTAATAAGATTTTATGAATGAACTGCCCGGTTGAAATGGGGTAATTTGGTGGGAAAATTGTCATAGGATATTATGGCGTAAAAGTATTTGCTACTGTAAATGTTATTTCATATTTTTACTAGGAAAAAGCAAATTGGGAGATAATATATTGATAAACTTAAAATTTTTAACTAGGTCTCTGTGTTAGTATAAATTGCATGTATAATAATTTGACTTATAATTACTAGACCAGAAACATACTTATAGAAAATTTGGTTTGAAGATTGGTGGCTGTTTAACCATGTCATGCATGTAAACATCAAACAACAAATTAAATGCATATGATAACATATTTATGCAAAAATAAATATGAACCCTGCATTCTACTAGACCAATACACTTTTGCAGTTCGATGTCAAATGTTTCCTGTTGTGATGCTTAGCACTACAGGAAAACATATTATTTCCTTCTATGGCAGACAAACCTGAAATTGGTATATTCATCATAATAAAACATGGCAATGCACACTGTGCAGTTAATTGTTTGATTATTGCTGCAGACAGGGGTTAATAATCATAATTATTGCAACAGAAAGTTTACAGCATAGTATCGCAACCTCAACGGAATTAAACTTAAAATACCGGTTTCATCATAATGTGTAAATACCTATGTATTTATTTTAAGTCTGGTGCAAAATTGACAATGTCTGAAGTCGTGTTTTGTGATTGTGAAATACCTATATATTTTGTGCAAGTTGCTTATATATTCTGTAACATAAATTGGCAAAATATACCTTTTTTACGCCCTTATAAACATAAAAATACAATTCCCTGCCAACGTTGAAACATATCCTATCTGGCGACGGAGAACCATCGTTTACATTAATGAATGACACTCTGGATGGAGTGTTAGTTTGACCATTATAGGGAACTCGGGTAGGTTTTGAATATTCTGACAGTGGCATCAATTTGTACGTCCCTTCCCGGGTTACAAAGTGAGTTTTAATGTCATCTTTTCCTCCGCCCTCACTTTGGGACGCCATATTGAAATTGAGTTTCCGACAGGTGCCCGGATAAGATAAATACGCATGCGTCATGTAAACTTCCGTGAAATAGGTAAACAATAACACGTGGGTTTGTTTACATGTTCACTTGATGATTAAACGAGTCCCAGAAGACGCATTTAACCCGATTTTCTTATTTTTAGATGACCAGTCCAGTCCATTTACAGATTATCAACCCACCTTATCATATCTTCATCTGAGCTTAAGCCTGATATGTAATCCTTCGTGTGAGTTATTACAATGCAATGTTGTATTTTAGTTCGAGATAAATGATGAGCTCAGCTAAAGGTTTTACTTACTTACTTATAGTTGATCTCCAGTACAGGATCCCTAAGGTTCCTCTTCACCAGACTCATAATTTGAGTCATTTCTAATATTGTTTTGTCCGTGATTTCCGGATATTTCTGCTCATTCTAGTCATTGTAATATAGCTCTTCGTCAGACCAACATTTATCTAATCGGTTCTTAAAGGTATTTATAGATGGGGTTTTATTGATTTTATCTGGTAGTTTATTCCAGGTTTTAGCAATTCTAACATAGAATGAGTGTTTGCGGATATTAGATTGAAATCTTTGATGGATGACTTTGTTGCTATTTGTCTATATAGCTACTGCATATGGTTCTATATATATATGTTTTGAATCATCTGTCATTTTTAAAAAGGAGCTTACTTCCTTATCATAGTAGACATTGATAGTTTTGAAGGTTTCAATCATATCCCATCGTATTCTCCTATATGATAGTGTAGGTAAGCCTAGTTTTTTTTTAAGTCTCTCTGGATAGCCCATGTCTTTAAGACCTGGTAGTTGTTTTGTTACCGGCCTTCTTTGGACTCCTTCTATTTTGTCAATATCTTTTTTCTTGTATGGAGACCAGACTGAACTAGCACATATGAGCTTATTTTGCACTGTGTTGTATGTGTATCATAATCGACTCTTGATAAAAAAAAATGATTTAGTTTTTGAGCTCCCGAAGGTTATTGTTTTTAACAAGTGGTTTTGTATGCCGTTTTGTTTTAGTTGTCATCGCCAGATGTGCAGAAAAGGAGGCATGATAAGAACCATTATTGTACCCATGAAATTACCGTGAAATGAACATGTTAATCGTATACATTGGACACTTAAGTGCAGAAAGGTCACTTGTGATGTCACACTGACGTCATTACCATGTTGAAATTGACAAAAATGACTAATAAAATTGCCATTTCAAGGCATTTGACACAAGAAATAATTGATAATTTCGAAATCAAGGCCGGGGGGATGGGGAAAGGGGAGGGGTAAGCATTTGCAACGCCACAAAAATAAACAAAACAATCGTAAAAAAATCACTGAGATATCTTCCTGCCCTCCCCTCTGAATTTCCTTTCATATAGTCGTCCCTAAAGCCTTAATTTGCTCATATCTTGATTTTATAATGGAAATCTATCAAAATGAGGCTTACAGAGTAGTTTTTTTCAGTTTTGCTTTTAATTAAAGAAGTTTGAAGTCTTAATGCAAATATGTATGACAAAATTAATAGTATCTGATATCAATACGAAACCTGTCGAACTAATGTCTTATATGGACATCTGATGTATGTTATTTTATAGATTTAAAGAACTTTTTGATTTTTCAATTCAAAGGGCAAACAAAGTGTCATTATCATCATCGGTACTTGGGGGACAGGACAATTTTTTTTCAGCCCCTCCCTCTTTTTTCCAAAATCTGGATCCTTCATACTTTGTATATACATTGTGTAGATGCCTTATGTTATGAAGTTTCCGTCTGTCATATATCCATTGTCCTTGACCTCATTTTCATGGTTCAGTGAATACTTGAAAAAAAGTTAAGATTTTTAGTATTCTTAATTTCTCTCTTATTATGAGTTATAGGATAACTATATTTGGTATGTGTGTACCTTGCAAGGTCCTCATTCCTGTCAGACAGTATTCACTTGACCTCGACCTCATTTCATGGATCAGTGAACAAGGTTAAGTTTCCGTGGTCGTCCATACATCAGATACTATGAGCAATAGGTCTACTATATTTGGTGTATGGAATGATTGTAAGGTGTACATGTCCATCTAGCAGGTGTCATGTGACATTGACATCATTTTCATGGTTCCGTGGTTAAAGTTAAGTTTTTATGTTTTGTTTTTTTTTCTCATACTATATGCAATAGGTCAACTATATTTGGTGTATAGAAATATTTTTCGATGAACATGTCAGTCTGGCAGGTTTTATTGACCTTGACCTCATTTTCACGGTTCATTGCTCAGTGTTAAATTTTTGTGTTTTGATCCTTTTTTCTTAAACTGTAATCAATAGGTCAACTATGATTTGGTGTATGGAATGATTGTAAGATGTACATGTCCAACTGACAGATGTCATCTGACCTTGACCTCATTTTCATGGTTTAGTGGTTAAAGTTAAGTTTTTGTGTTTTGATCTTTTTTCTAATACTATATGCAATGGGTCAACTATATTTGGTGTATGGAAATATTTTACGATGTACATGTCAGTCTGGCAGATTTATTTGACCTTGACCTCATTTTCACAGTTTATTGCTCAGTGTTAAGTTTTTGTGATTTGGTCTGTGTTAGGTCAACATATTTGGTGTATGGAATGATTGTAAGGTGTACATGTATTTCCGGTTTGGTTTATCTGACCTTGGCCTCATTTTCTTGGATCATGTTAAGTTTATGTGATACTTGTAATAAAGCTTTACATTTAGGACTATTAACATAAAATCAATGATCAGTAAAGCAGGCGAGACATTTCAGCGTGTGCACTCTTGTTTAGTTTTCTATTAATTTCAATTCTTTTCGCGTTTTTCTGTATTATATGAAAATAAATATACTACAAATAACTTGTATTTGCTATTTACTATTAATTCCAAATTAACTATCCACAGCGGTCACTGATATATTATTCTCTATTCTTTAATTTATTTTCTCATTTTGTCTCTATTCAGTAATGGTTTTGCTCATTTTTCTCTTCATTATATATTTTTGTTCATTTGTCTATATTCATTATTTATTTTTGCTCATTTATCTATATTCATTATTTATTTGTTCATTTGTCTATATTCATTATTTATTTTTGTTCATTTGTCTTTATTCATTGTTTATTTTTGTTCATTTGTCTATATTCATTATTTATTTTTGCTCATTTGTCTATATTCATTATTTACTTTTGTGCATTTGTCTATATTCATTATTTATTTTTGCTCATTTGTCTTTATTCATTGTTTATTTTTGTTCATTTGTCTATATTCATTATTTATTTTTGCTCATTTGTCTATATTCATTATTTATTTTTGTTCATTTGTCTATATTCATTATTAATTTTTGCTCATTTGTCTATATTCATTATTTATTTTTGTTCATTTGTCTTTATTCATTGTTTATTTTTGTTCATTTGTCTATATTCATTATTTATTTTTGCTCATTTGTCTATATTCATTATTTACTTTTGTTCATTTGTCTATATTCATTATTTATTTTTGTTCATTTGTCTATATTCATTATTTATTTTTGCTCATTTGTCTATATTCATTATTTATGTTTGCCATTATTCTTAATTCTATAAACCCCTTCATGTATTCCAGACCTTCACAACTACCAAAGTTTGAATGATTTCGTAAAACAGCAGAACATGAAGTTACGAGATTGTGTTGACATTGTCGTATATATTAAGGAGGGTCTGCAAGGGGGCCTTCATTTCTGTATTCTTTATTTTATTGCCAATTTTCTCTATTCTTTATATTTTTTGCCCATTATTCTATATTCTATACATTTTAACACCACATTATTCTCTACTTTTTTTTTGCCTATTTGTCTTTACTCTTTATTTTTTTGCTCTTTATTCTACACTTTTTGCCCATTATTCTCTATTCCGTAAACCCCACGGCATAAATGAAGCAACACCGCTTTCCTAAAATCTTTCAATAAAAAAGAACAAACTATACTACTTGATTTGTTTCAGAAAGCATTACGATTTCAATTTATATGCCTAATCGCATTGTCAAATGATCATTTAGTATTTTGCGAATGACACTCGATCCATGATCAATTGGTCAAATGATGACAATTAAAAAATTACCGCCAGTGAGTGTGTCGGCGGATGGTTGTTACAAATATTTATTTTATCAGTATTCATCACAGGCACTTGTCTCATAAAAAATTTCCTATATATACCTTAATATAACGTTATATTAAGATATATAGGAAATTTTTTTCTGAGACAAGTGCCTGTGGTATTCATTGCCAGTTGAGAAAGACATTATGACAAGTAGCAGTTTTGTCGCATTTATTTCATTTGCTAACACTGGACGATATATATACCACTGCGGATGGACTGTTAGTCCACAAGGGTATCAATTACAGGTTAGTAGTCAGTGCTTTGGTAATGCCATAACATATACTTATTCAAAATTCCCCGTTCATAAATTAAGAAATTATTAAAAAACCAAGGTTCCAACTCTTTCTGTCAAAGTTGAACTTAGATGAATTTGGCTGTTTTGTTTAGGTCCTTTTGCCATAATGCTTCTAACGTTCAGTGTATTACGAATCCTTGGCTTTAAACGGTTTAGGTTTGAGCATTCCTGATGAAGCCTAAAGACAAATCCCTCTATTGTTTATGCGCACATACAAGCGCGACAGTTTTATGCCATCAACGGAGAGAACCACAGACCTTCGGCAGAAAAAAAACTGGCAATCCAAGTCAATTATGATCCAAGGCGAATGCACGTTGCCACCAGTGGGGTTCGAACTCAACTCACCAGTGACGCTCGAATCAAGAAAGTTGAAAGGCTAAATAAAGTACGAAGTTGAAGACCACTGAGGAACCATCAACCCAGTTTATCCAATTTTGAATTAAAGTTACTAGTATCCTTCTGTTGTTCCATCATGATGTTGAATAGATTCTCTGATGGTAAATATTGATCATCAGTTGCTTTAGGTGTTGTCATCGATAAAGTCTGAACGTAGGGTTGCGCATGATGTAACTGACA